AACTCCTCCACAAATCTCTCTCCACAATATTCTCAAAAATCTCCTCAAACAAATATCTTCAATAATCTCCTTATGAAACACGGTTACGCACGGGGCAGCTGTATTACGAGTGATGGCTTCCCCATCCTCGTGGTTCTTCTTCCCCGATTATCGGCGATAATCGGGGTCAATCGGGGACACTCGTCATCGGGTGTCCTCGTCTTAATTATTAGCCCTGCGATGTCCATATCTGCTCCCTTTACTTCTTCCGGGTCACGTGGGCCGTGACGTATTCGTGGGGGGTTTTCTTTTCTTCCGTCGGGCGTGTGTGGTGACGAGGGGAACGGTGGGTGCGGGGGGCTTCTCCTTTTCTCCAACGATGTTTCGGTCGGGCGTGAGTGTAGTGCTGAGGTGGGGCGCGGGGTAAGGGGAAGGAATATTTTTGGGAGTGGGAGCCAATGGTGACAGGTTTCCTAACCTGTTGCTGTGTTCCTATCTTTTACTTAATTCTAGCTTATTCTATAAAAAGTGTATAAATTAGGGGGCTGGGGAGGGGCCAAAAAGTGCCTCGTCACAGTTCTAAATCCAAAACATTCTGAAATCAATAATATATGATAGAATGAGATAAAGAGGATGGAATCGGAAAAATATTACCAAACGGGATAAATATCTTTTTTTCCTTTTTTGAAGAGGTAATTTTTGTAAATAATAATTTCGGAGCACCATCTTTTTATCTCTTTTTAACGTTTCAAAATGAAAAAAAACGCTGATTTCAATTATATAGATATTAACTCACCAAAATATGCACGAAAAAAGCCTCCCTTCTCTCCTGTAAGCTCAATTTACGTGCTATATTTGTATGATTGTCAGTATTGGACTTCCTTTTTCGTCTTGGACGAGAGGCAGGAATTAAGTATGGAAGAAGATGAAAAATGATGGCGATTTGATGTTCTTTAAAAAATAAATTTAACATTTCGTTACACGACAATTTCCAGTTACCAAAATAAAAAAAATATATTATACCAGAAGTCGTGGTTGGAATCTGATCCCTCAATGTTCTATCAGAGGCACTACCAATGGGGATTGACTTCAATTTTTGATAGAAAAGTTGTACAGTTTGCTCCCAATGTTTCGATAATCCCAAAACACAGTCAGGATACAGCCGACGAAAATCTCCTTCGTACTATACAAATGAAAAGTTAAATTATTAATTTGAAAATTGTGCATAGGAATACAGCGATATTGCTTTCACTTTTATATAAGCGACTGTACCAAATCAAGTGCTTTATTCACTGCAAGGCAGGCGTACTTGGTCATGTAATCTTTTACTGGCAGTTTTGTGCTAATCATATCACTTCGACGAGCGTCGAATGTATCTTCCCACCACAATACCACGTCATTCCACGGTTCAACTTTCCTATGTAGTTGCTTCAATTTATCTTTAATAGAATCTACAAAATCACATTATGTTGGGAATGCACTGGAAAACTTTTTTTGCCACGTTTTGAATGTTCGACGTCTTACCTGCGACCTCAATTTCATTTTGAGTTTCAGAATGTAATTTTTTCCCACGTTTCTCTAAGATACCGTCCTCAAACATTGCTAACTTCAAATAATCACAATGCCAGTAGAGTTTTCCCATGGGATTGAGAGTAATACCGTTTTCAGTTCTGCCTGGGGTGTAATAATTCGATGGTGATTCACGTGGAAAAGTTTGTGCAATTTGATTAGCCATTGACAAAAATCGGGCACTCGTGATACTAAAAATGATGCAAACGAATAAGTTTGAGTTCAACGATCAATACCAAAATATTGTTCAATTACATAAATTCATTGAGCTTTTCACTGGCTTTCAGTCTTCCAATAAATTTTTTTTGTTCTAAACCAACGACAAATCGTGTAACATGACTTTGCAGAGGTTTCGATAGAGTCATATTTTTGTCGTACATTATAACTACTGCCCGAGTTTTAGGGTCTTGTTCTAATAATTCTCCTAATTTCTGATAAATATCCCTGATGGTTCAAACCCAGAGTCCAACTCTGGGTTGTGTCCAGCAACCCAGTTTGGGTTAGCCGAAAACACAGAGTTGAGGTTAAATGGTGAATTTGGGGGAGATCTAAACGCAGGGTGTACTATGATCTTTTTCCGATTGTTGCTGAGTTATTTTAAGCATATAATGATATTGTTGAAGGATGTGGATAATTAAATGAATATGTTTGAACGCTAATGTGCTAGCTCTGGGTAAAATCTAAAACCCAGACAGATGATTTTTATTCATTAACGAGGTAGCAATGTTGCTGAACAATTATGGGGATAACTGTATGTTCAGAGCGAACACGGGAGATGTATTAAAATAAGGGGAAGGGTGGCAACGATTGTTTGAGAGATGAAATGCCAACTCTGGGTCAACACTGGGTCACAGTCTCCATCCCAGAGGTGTCTTTCTCTTTATTTAATATCTTTTTAATATCGGGAAATAAAAAAGAGGGGTGAATAAAAAGAATCATTTAACCATTTGAATGATTCTAGGGTCACCTAGTCGTGCGGAGGCGACTTGGAATATATTTAAAGTGAAAACTATCAACTCTGGGTTGGGGACTGTGAGCCAGTCTTGATTTGGTTTCCACTTTCGGTAGCACCCGTATTACAAAGAGATTGTGATCTTTCAATATGATGTAAAGTTGGAGTTGTGGGCGAATTCGCGTGGTATGAAAAAAACAGAGGGGAGGAAAGAAGAATAACAAAGGGAAAAACAACTTAACCAACAAAAATCGGATCTTGAAAAATCTTCAAAGGCGATTTCGTTTCATGAAATAAAAACAAAACTAATATCAATTTTTTTTCTGAAATTTAAAACATCCACCGTTTGATTGGGACGTCTTCGCTCATGTACCTCTACTGTGACGCTTTGTATATTCCCTATAGGATTCAAAGGAACTCTTGTTCGCAAACTGTTGAGTGAACAAGAAGAGAATGTCTCACTGGGGGCATGATTTTGCGTGTTTTCCTTATCACGAGAATGTTGTAATAATTAAGAGTCGTGTACTGAAAAAATTGCAAAAATGAAAAATATACAATACTTGCAAGATATTTTTGAAATTGACATGAAGGAAAATACCAGATATGAAGAGTCTCTTATCTTAGGTTCGGGCCAACTCCCAGAAACACGATTAAGGGATGGACAAACTCCGGAAAACTTATTTTGATAATGAAAATCCTTTAAAAAAAAAATATTTCCATAGAATTTAGCACATAAAATATATTCATCGTTTTCATTCTTAAATTAAAAACTTGAATGTACCTGAGAAAGATAGTTAAAATTCTCCATTGCAGCCTCAACCGATAGTCTGTCAAAATAATTAAAAATAATAATGGAAATATATATCTTTTTCTCCGTCTACTTATAAAGCAGTGCAGTAATTGCACAAACAAAATATGGGCAGTATATGCACCTAGATATCACACAAAAAAAAACTTTTCGAGAGATTGAGACTCATGATAAGAGGGAAAAAATTAAATGAAATAAAAAAAAAACGGAAAAAGGGATAATTCACATAGGGTTAAGTATTATTTTGCTGTTGATGTGACGTAACACACATGGCGTGCGCCAGGATCTGTGAATATTTCACAAACGGTAGCTGTTACAAAGTTGATCTGCTTTTCCCCACCTCTAAAAAAAATTTCTCTCCAACATTGTTTTGGACATTATAAAAAAAATGTAGAAGCACTAAAGAATTTCAAGTGCAATGAGGGAATGATTGTGATGAGAGAGATATTGAGACCATCAACAGGAATCCAAATAATGTTAAATTGAAAAAATTTCCGAAGGGTTGAATTTATTATTTTGCCACATTTGTTTTTCGGAAAAAGGGAGTAAAGGCTCAAAGTTAATCAATTTATCAACTTGAGTACAGTCACTTTACAAGAATAAGATAAATTGTACTTACATGTTTCACATCTCACAACTGCGATGGCTTGTCGTTCACTGAGCGCGACCGATGTCTCTTGTCATGAAACAAAAAAAGCGCGGAGCATGGAGCCTTCACTTATTTCCTTAAACCCCGTTCGTAAATATCACTCGCTATTTTGATATTTTGTGAGTTCACATTGTAAAAATAGGAATTTCGCATGTAAGAACCCAGGGGCGCTGCAGCAGTTAGTATCTTGGCTGTCAATATTTTTTCAGTCCTTTTCCGTAAAAAAGAAAAGTTGTCAATAAATTTTCTATTCCGGTTAATTAAAAAGTTAAGTAATTCTTTTCCTGAATAGCCGATTAAAACATGGATTTATTTTACTTTATTTCTACAACTTAATAAAATGATCATAGTACTTCATTATTTACTTAATTCATTTCAGCTTTCGGAAAAAAAAGTTCAAATTTGAATCGTAAAAATTGAAAAAGCAAATAGATTTTTCCCTATCCCATTGGCAAATTATTCAAATCCTAAAAACATGGAAAAAAAATATGTATATCGAAATTTTCTTTCTCATTTTTTTACGATTCCAATTCGTGATCTTTGGAAAGAGAAATGTATTTTAAAAAAATCAAAATCCCAATTTCCAAAATGAATTAATCCATATTCCCCGGAATTTACCATGTCGTTTGCAGGTACGATTTCTACATCGTAATTTTTCTTATTAAAATCTTCCCGTGTATTTTTACAAATACACCTCTGTCGTTGCTGCTGAGTATTCGCCAATTATTAATACTCAACGATTCCATCGTGTAGGGTACGTTTTTTTGGTGATCGTTGGCAAAGTTTACTTTTCGAAGGATTGAGGGGTTGAATTGGCTGTTTTGCGTGTGGAATGCGTAAAGTTGAAGGACGTGTGTGATATTAACTTCAAGGGTCTATTATTTGGTAAGGATCGCGCGATATTGGGAAAAAAATCAGACTCGCTGAAATCGAAATGATTATAAAAATAAATTTGTAACATCGATTCTAAAAAAATCGATAAAAAAATTAACCGCTATATCGATACGATCTTCTTACAAACGTTTTCGGCAATTCAAATTTCGACCTATTACTACAATTTTCGCGGAGATTAACGAAAATGGTGAAATTAGTAAGATAGAGTTATACCACAAAAATTGGGAAAATTAAAAAAGAATGAAAGCATTGACTCTTTTGATGTAGTATTGGAAAAATCCGAGTAGATTCCTGTTGAACATTTATCATGAGACAGAATCTTTTTTTGCGACAAGAATTTTATTAATTTGACAAAAGATCCCACCCCGCGCGGCTTGGGTCAAGAGCTGCTGGGGGTCAAGAAAATTATCAATTAATAGATGTTGGGCGCCAGTCAACTTTGATAAGGTTGACTACTCAAATTTTAAACAATTTTATTACAAGACTAGACTCGATCAGGGTAGGCTCGACTCTGGTGACCCGTAATAGAATAGATTAATAGGTGATAGACCAAGAAGAGAGAATTTACAGAACCACGGACTACTTACTTTTACTGCATCGGGAACTGCGCTCCTAGCCTTGGTTGACAATTACACAGAACACAAGAGTTCAATTGACAAAAACATATTTTAACTTAAGACAGTGGCAATCGCCGTATAATACAAGTATAGACAACGGAAAACTTATTTTATTATCGTCCAATGCGTGAGCGAGAGTACTTTTTCTATTGTCGCCCGATGCGAGAGTGACGTGATTTTCTTCACGCTAGACACTTGTTGAGGGCGACCCGAATGCTGCGCAACTCTCTTGACAAATTTTCGTAAAAGGCCCCCTCATTGGCTCGGGCCTCTCCGAACTGGATTTTTGGCAATTGAGTGTCCCACTCGTTATGTTTACCAGTAATAAGCGCAGTGATAACTGGTTTAATAGTCCTGTTGGCTCGTCCAACGGGGTTCCCTTGCCGGTGATACACGGGGGTTTTCTCGTGCTTGACTCCTCGAGCTTGGAGAAAGGCTTGGACGTGCTGATTAATGTATTCGCGTCCATTGTCAGTTATTATTGACTTTGGGGCACCCCAACGGTCAAAAATGGTGTCTAGTATTGTGACAATCGTTTTGCCAAACCTGTTTCTGACAGGGAAAAGCTCAATATATTTCGTGAATAGATCTTGCACGACTACGATGTACAAATTCCCTCTTTGCGTTCGAGTTCGAGTTACTATGGTGTCGACCAATAATTGGCTTCAGGGCGTAAGCAACGGTCTTGTCATAAGGGGTCCCTTCGCGGGGTTTTGATTAAATTTGACTCTCAGGCAAACTTTGCACTCTTCGACATATTTCCTGACGTCACGAGTCATCCCTGGCCAATAATAATTTTTACGAATCCTATCGAGAGTTTTCTCTTGGCCCAGATGGCCTGCCTCCGGCGCGTCGTGATTTTCTGTAAGAATTTTCAATACGTCCGACATTCACACGACTCTTTTCCACGGATTCTCATCGTCTATCAGCACTTTCTACTAATCGTGGCGGTAATAGAACATTTCGCCTCGCTCTATTTTCCACTCTGAGAATCGCTCGGGATAGTTCTCTACAAGTTTGAACTTGGTGTCAAACCAACTCTCGGTACGGATAGAATTACACCGGGGCCTACTCTGTATTGTCTTTTGGACAACGTTTTCCCACCCCCCGCGGTCAACGTCAATGTCGAACATCCTAGACAAGGCGTCAGGGGCCTCATTTGTCGTTCCCCTGCGGTGTTCTATTGTGATATCGTGCTGATAAAGGTAGATTGACCATCTCGCTAAACGACCAGTCGGCTTTTTCAACTGATAAAGCCACTGGAGGGCCTGGTGGTCAGTGACGACCTTGAACGGCATTCCCTCCAAGTAGTACCGAAGTTTCTCTACTGCCCACCCGACTGCTAGGCACTCTTCTTCCGTGGTTGTATAGTGCATCTCCGCGCCGCGTAATGGTCTACTCAGAACTTCAATTGAATTCTCTACGTCCTTTTGTTGATCGTACTGGACAAGTATCGCTCCCAAGCCAAAGTCGCTCGCGTCCGTATAAAGCACAAACGGTTGTCCTGGAACTGGGGCGAAAAACCGGGGAGCTGTTGACAATGCCTGCTTAACTTGGTCAAACGATTTTTGTTCGGACTCGGTCCATTTCCACGGGACTCTGGGACTTGTCTATTTGTTCAAAGGGCTCTGAACTCCAGCAATGTTTTTTAAATGCCTATGGTACCAGTTAACAAGGCCATTAAACTGTCGTAGTTGTGTACGATCTTTAGGAGTTGGAAAATCTAAAATTGGCTGGATTTTCTCGAGGTTAGGCCTCATGCCGAACTCGTCAACGGTATACCCCAAGAACTTGACCTCTTTACATGCGAAACTACTTTTCTCTCGGTTGATAAGGAGTTTCGCGTTGCGGAAGACTTCAAAAACTAACGACAGAATCTGGACATGCTCGTCAAAATCTTGGCTCACTATCAGCCAGTCGTCGAGATAGGTAAACACCTGATCTACCCATTTATTAGACAGCCGGCGCGCGTGAATTAATTCGGCCATACGTCTTCTGAGTACGTCCATCAATCTCTGGAAGGTTGACGGGGCTCCCGTTAGACCGTACGGCATCCGGAGCCATTTCAATAGCCCTTTCCCTTCAACAACAAACGCGGTGTACTTCCTGCTATTTTCTTCCATCGGAATCTAGTGAAACGCTTCGCTCATGTCGATAGTGGAGATTATTTTGTAACTGAGACAAGATAGACCGCATGTTATGCAATGGATATGCAGGTTTCTTCGTTTGACGATTAAGGGGTTTGTATTTAATACAAAATCGTAAGCCTGCGTTGGCTTTTGGTGCGACAACAGGAGAGCAAGCCCACTCACTGTTGCTGGTGGTAGTGTAACCCTTTGACAAAAGTCTTTCGAATTCGTCGTCAATAAATTTACGAATTACTTCGCTCCTTCGATACGGCTTTTGTCTATGGGGACTTGGGTCATCGAGCTCGATCGCGTGTTCGATGAGGTCGGTTTTCCCGGTTGGTTCTCTATCAAATTTCGCGAATTCTTCGTTCAAGAAATTCTCGAGTCTATGCGTGTCATTGCTAGTCAATGTGCATAGCTGTGAAGGAATTATGGTGGATTGCGACAAGGGATATTTATATTGGCTGCCTGCTAGGGTCCAGATACGATCAAATGGATCAATGAGAACTTTAAATGATAGGCAGAAATCCATCCCTAGGATCAGATCCGTTGATAAGCTTGGCATAATGCTAAACCACTGGGGACCGTATATTTCCCCGATGTCGATTATAAACCCTGTCCCACTATGTGTCTTGACAATCGTTCTGTCTGCTATTTTGATGCCCTTCCTAGATGTCGCGTCAGGCTCTAAATTTTTTATTTGATAATGTTTAACACGTTCATACGCTCCTGCACTCAGATATGATCTATCGCTTCCGCTATCGATTATCCCTCTGACCGTTTCACCGAATATCGAAATTTCTACGGGTATCTGCGTTGCTCGCTTTGGCTCATTAATTTGACTCTCTCCACGGTAAATTCGTCGCTGTGCTAGTCTGCAAATTACGTGTGGTGGTAGTACTTGAGGCCGCCACGATTTTCCTGGCGTTTTCCTCGAACCGATGTTTTCAATGGTACTGGGATTTCCATCGTCAACTTTTATTCCCGTTTTCGTTAAGGTTAAGAGGGGATACAACTCGCTCGTTTCGCTTGGAGTCTCCACTCAGGTCGTGTCGAGTCCTGCGTCGGACATTTCGCTCTCATCCTCTGATGTCTGCACCGCATGTACCTGCGCGTGTGGGATAATTTCGAGGGTTTTGTCAAGGTCTTTGGTCTGTCTGGTATTAGCTGGAAATTCCTGCCTCTGCGGTACTGTAGCCGCTGCTTCTACGACCCCGGGAGTGCCTTTTAGTTCAGTCACTTGAGGTAGAGTAACTGACGGCTTTTGGAGTTTCCCGAGTTCTTCGTACAATTCCTACTTTCGTGATCTACCTCGCGACAGACATAACAAACCGTCTTGCGTTCATTCCGGCAAAATTTCGGCGTGTGATCTACCTCACCGCAAT